AGAGAGAGAAGCTAGAAGAGAGAGAGAGAGAGAGAGAGTGAGAAGGAAGAGAGAGAAGCAAGAAGAGAGAGAGAGAGTGAGAAGGAAGAGAGAGAAGCCATAGCCGCCACCTGATTGAGATCGGCTGTGTGGGTGGGTGTGCGGCAGAGCCGCTGGAGACAGACATTCTTGTATATTGATAATAATATTGGGGACGACATCTTCCAGTGTTGATTGTATCTCGATTTGGCTTATCACATGTGATCTCTCATGTGAATGTTCATTGATGTATGCGAGGTTGAACTCGACGAGTACTTGGCTCATTTCAGTGGTATAAGAGCTGGTTCCCGCTGCTTCTGCTCGGAGTTGAAGCGCTGGCAAGGGAAAAGGCCCGTGGGAGACCCAAAAAAAAAAAAAAAAAAAAAAAAAAAGAAGGGTTGACTGCGTGTTGAGGGCCGAAGAAGAAGGGGCACAACAAGAAGGAAGATGAGAACTCACCTGGGATCGAGGAGCTTCATCGACGGAACGTTCAAGGAGTCAAGTGCTTCTCTGCCCTGGCCCTGTCGTTTATGCATTTGAGTTTTGTTGTGAATGGTGCCTTCCCACATACTTTCCTGGTGACCTCTGCTGCAAAGCTTACAAATCGATTTCTGTTCATGTCATCTTGTAATTCGAGTCAGCAGTCGCACTTGGTCTGCCTGTTGCTTGGTAAGTCAGAGACCGATCTCTCCTGGAGGAAGGCTCTTCCCCCTTGTGGGGGAACTGGTTAGGGTTGCCGGCCTACCTGGGGGCATAGGTACCCAGTGGGACCCTAATCCCATGAGAGTGAAAGTTTCATGTGTGATGTAGGTCGGTCTAGGGTAGCAACTCGGCAGGTGGATGTATCCCCGGACCTAGTAGGGAGCACGGGCAATGAGCGGCGGGCGCTCGTGAAACAACCAGGCTATGCCCAATAACCGATACTGACCGTCGTGCGACCGAAGACTCTAAGGGACGCAGCGAGGAGTTGTAGAGGGCAGTAGGGTTCGCCAGCTGTATAATGTGCGGGCTATGTATCACCCGCGGCCGCTGCCGCGGGGTTGATCCTGGACGGCGGCAAAGATCTCAGCTGCGGCCGCGGACCGCCGCGGATAGGCCACGGCCATGGGACTTCGGGGATTTTTCCCCGCTGAAAAAATGGTGCAAGGAAAATGAGCAATAGCAAGACGACAATATCCAGATTGCACAATCACATTAAAAGCCAGAATGTATCACAGTATCCAGAAAGCAGCATTGCACCAATATAACACCAATGGAGAATCGTAACACTCAAAACCAAATGTCAATGAGAGCTTGCTCTCGCCACCACCAACATATGTGTCCAGGCCCTTCTCCCTACTTGGCGCTCGACACCCAGCCTACTCCCTACACAACCACCATCTGCCTACTAATTGACAATGCAACTGTTGACGTCAGCAGCCAAAGAAGTACTTGAAGATGTCGCCCAATGCAAACCATCGCCAATACCAGGGATGTGCCCTCACATCATCATCATCATCATCCTTCACGCTCTCCCTCGACTTACACCCATGTCTTCCCTTTGTACACCCAAAGAGTCGGCGAAGACCACCCCTGCGCCTCACTGTAGTCCAAGCCCCAGCCAGCTATGTAGGCTGGGTTATGGCGCTGCCCTCAACATCGCCCTCACTCACACACGACTGCATGTGCTTGCGCCTTGCCTCTCAGCGCCAGCAGCAGCCCACGAGCGTCCGCTCCAGCAGTGCTGCCGCTAGCATGCAAGTGCTTGAATGCCCGACCAGGCGGTGAAAGAGCCTGCCTCCCCCGACGGCCTGGCTGGCCTGGGCCTCTGTCCAGAAGCTTCCAGTAGGCCCCAGGAGGTTGTGCCTCTGTTGCAGCTACTGGGCCTCGTTCGGTTGGGCCTCCCAACTGTCTGTGTATGAGGCTACTATTTGTGCCCAACGCCTGCCTTTCAGGGAGGCCGTGGAATGTCTTTGCTGCTCGGCCTGTGTTTCCCTCAATCAACTAGCGCGTCACAACTGCCTGGACCCCAAATACGAAATTGACAGCAGAGGGCCTCTCGAGATTTGTTAGGCCCGCCTTCACTTAGGGCGGGCACACCTGTATCAGGGCCCCTTAGGTCTGCCAAGGACCCAGATCCTCGCATTCCTTCCTCCTTTACTTCGACAGTCCTCTGAGAAGTCTTGTAATCTGCAGGCATCTTTCCCTTGAGTTCTCTTTCATAGCTTGCAATCACTTGAGGTGTTGTTCGCATGAGTTCTTCTCTTGTGAACCACCGATCATCGTGGGGTTCAAGATGGTGTCTGAAGCTGACACGATATTGTATCTTCGGCTTGGGAGGGTGACCTCTGCCCGACGGTTTAGGCACTGGCATCATTCGATGCTCCACGATTCCGTCGATGTCCACTTCACCATCCATGGTTGGGGGCAGCATTGATCGTCTGGAGGGAAACTGTGCCGTCTCTGCGAAAGGTGCCAGCTTTGAGCCTTTGAGGCGTGAAAAACTGGGTGTGTACGTAAGTGAGGTGGGATATGAATCACATAAGAAGGTCCATCTTTCTGATCCCCCACTACGTCTAGGACCTCCCACGGACTGAAATACTGTGGCATCAATTTGCGAGATATGCCCAACTCTTGACCCAGTTCAAATGATTTAACCTAGACTCTATCACCTACCTGAATGCTTATTCTCACATGCGATCATAGCATCCTGAGATCTTCTGATGTGCTCAACGGTCTGCTGCAACATCTTCTCATACTCAACAACAAACTCTATGCTGCCAGGTGCTGCTGTGGGCTGTCTTTCGGGTAGTATAAAATCAAGTGCAGTTCTGGGCTTCCAACCAAGATGCAATTGGTTGGGAGTCATACCAGTAGCACTGTGCACAACATTGTTGTACAGACTGGCCACGGAAGGTAACTTCTCGTCCCAGTCATCCTCACTCAACTTAATATAATGCCAGAGCAGGTGCTGTACTACTCGGTTCATCTGTTCTGCCTGACCATTGGATTTAGGGTGATTCCCTGACGTCATTTGCAGCTTGGTGCCCATCTGTTCAGTTGTGGATTGCCATTGTTCGCTGGTAAATCTTACATCCCTATCACTCACTATAGACGTAGGGAGTCCAAAATCACATACCCAGTTATCCAGAAACAGTTTGATGATATAATCAGTTTTAGCAGTCTCTGGCATAGCAATAAGTCTTGCATACTTGGAAAAGCGGTCTACTATAATGAAGATGTGTCTCTTGTTAGTCCTGTAGGTCACAAGAGTATCCATGAAGTCCATGGACACACTCTGACTAGGACCATCAGGAATCGGCAATGGTCTGAGAAGCTCAAGCGGGGCCTGAGTCCTAGGTTTGTCCCGTTGGCAAACCTGGCAGGTTTCCACGTATCTTTTGGCATCTTGCATCATAGAAGGCCACCAAAATTTCTGCACTAAATTGGCTGAAGTTTTTTTTTTGCCAAAATGGCCAGTTGCATCATGACACTCCCCTAAAAACAAACTACGCAAAGACTCTCTATTTGGAACACACAACCTTTTATTCCTTGCCTTCTCAAGAAACAACAAGCCATCTACCATCGTAAATTCATTAGAAGTTAATTTATCCCTCTCTTGAAATCTACGAATGATCTCAGACATAACTGAATCTTGTTGATAGGCCTCCACCAAAGATCGAGTTAGATCATTAGATATGCCAAATTCAGTGACTAGCGCGCCAAGATAATTTGCCCGACGTGATAGTGCCTTATCCACCTTGTTATACTCTCCCTTGATTGGATCAAGTTGATAGTCATACATGACATTATGTCTATCACTTGAATCCATCGTTTGAGTGCGTCAGAGAGTACAGGCTGTGTCTTGATCCGACGCAAAGTCTCATGGTTAGACCTCAAGTAGAATAATCTGCCTAGGAGATAATGTCTCCAGCGGACCAACGCTCTATAGAGAGCATAAAGCTCCCGCTCATACGTCGCTAGCTTTTGGGATGGCATCTTTTTTCTCATGCACTCGATTAGCCTCAACTTTTTCCCTTCCCTTTGCCTATGCCATATTGGATGGCGTCTGTGGAGACTGTGGTCACTACAAATGGCTGCCCGGGGTCAGGAATTTTAAGAACTTCATAGTGTGTTAGAGCATACTTCAATTTCTTGAAGCTTGCTTCACACTCTTCAGTCCACTCCCAAGGGGTGTCAAGGCGAGTTAGGTCGGTTAATGAGGAAGCTATAGTGCTATAGTTCTTAACAAACGGACGGTAATAGTCCGTCATCTCCTAAAATGACCGGACCTTAGCAACAGTCTGCGGTTTGGGTCAGTCTCGTATGCTGGCCACTTTAGCATCGTCCGGCCTCAACCCACCCACAAAGATTTCATGACCTAAGTACAAGATTTTGGTGCGACCGAACTCGCATTTCTCCAAGTTGACCTTGTATTGGTGCTGTCTTATGAGACCTAGCACTATTTTCAAGTGCTCAGCGTGCTTCTCCACAGTCTTACTAAAGATAAGGATATAGTCGAGGTACACGACGATAAACTTGTCTAAGTACTCATGAAAGATCCTATTCATTGCGTGCTAGAATGTTCCAGGGGCATTGCATAGGCCAAAGGGCATCACCACAAACTCGTACAGACCGTACCTGGTCTGAAAGGCGGTTTTGTGCTGGTCCTTGAGTCTAATAGCAATTTGATGGTATCCGGACTTCAGATCTAACTTTATGAAATACCGGCATCCGTGCACTCTATTCAGTAGGTCGTCGATGCAGGGTAGGGGCTCCACGTTCTTTACAGTGATGGCATTGAGGCCCCTATAGTCAATGCACATCCTTAGTGTACCTCCCTTCGTAGGAACAAATAAGATTGGCGCACCATAAGGGGAGGTACTAGGCCGAATCCATCCCTTCTCTGTGAGCTCTTTGAGTTGGCGGTGGAGCTCATCCAACTCCGCAGGAGACATCCTATAGATTCGTCCTCTAGGCACCTTACTACCTGGGACACTCTCTATTGCATGGACTTCCACCACACCTGTGGGATCCTCAAAAAGGTCGGAATACTGAACGACGACTGATGTTATCTCTGGGGGTGATTTTACGGCCTCCTCTTTCTTAGAGACAAAGACTAGATACATGCCTTCCTCGCGGTTCTGCTTATAGTAGTTATAGAAGGAAGATGCGCACGTGCACCCGTAGTTTTCCACTAGACTGCTAGCTTTGAACTTCTGCAGTCTAACGGTTCTACCGTTGGGCAACTTGTGGATCAATACCTTTCTATGCCAATCGAACTGAGGTTGAGCGACCTCGAGGTAGTACATACCTAGCAACATGTCAAATGGCAGTTCGTTGCTGACAAGGAATGGTATTTTATGTCTCACTTCCCCTCCTCCATAGGAGAAGGTGCCAACTGCGTCCTTTACATAGTCCTGGACTACCATGCGGTGCTTGTTGGCTAGCGTAGATGCTACAGATCTGTTAAGCCGCTGCACTTGGTCCCCTAAGCGCAACCTATCCACACATGCTCGACTGATGAAGTTCCGTGTAGAGCCTATGTATGCGAAGGCACCCACTTTGCGGCCACCTACATCAACCTCTACCACAAAATGTTCACTCATAGGACCTTTACTAATCATCGCCCAAGAGTCTCTGGGGTCCTTCCCTGACCACTCAGTCTTTAACTCTTCTAGGGAATCAGATACATCTCTTGAACAAAGCATCGGTGCATCTGAATGTGTCTGCGGGACGATGGATGGGTCACTAGCCTTGGGCAACGCCTGAAGTGGGGAAGGCAACGTTACCTGGCCCGGTGTGTTTCCCTGCGAAGTGGTCACAGAAGCACTGCGAGGGTTCGAAGATAAACCCATCACCGTTGGAGAGGCTACCTTCATTGTGACCTTCGTGCCTCGACAAGTTCTGGACGTGTGGCCATAGTTGCCACAGTTCATACAAGTGCCCTTAGCAACTCGGTCTCTCCACACCTCGTAATCTAAACCAAGTTTTACCCATGCGGGTGTTCCTTGGTTGCCCTGACCCGTGGACCGGCCTACCTTCTGCTTCCCGGTCCCCCTAGCTTTCTCTTTGATAGGCGCCACGACTCCCATTCGAAGTCTCGCTAGCCCCATGATCCCCATCCTACTCTGTCGCATCCCTATAGTCTGGGAAGTTGTCAATTTCAGTCGCCTGACCATCTTGGTCGACGAACATGAGTTGACCTTTCTTCTTCTAGTTTTGGGGAAGTCTCTTCTTCCTACCATCTGACTGAACCTGATGAGCGGACCCAAGCTTGGCCTCTATGTCTAAGGCTTTCTTGCTGAATGGGGCAAAGTTATGCTGGTCAATGCAGGCCTCGTCCACCAACTTATTTTTGACATCTGTGGGAAGACATCTCAAATAATCTGTGAGGAGTACCTGCAGATCATAGCGCACACCGGGTACCACGATCAATCGCTCTACAACGTCTGTGACTTTGCGTACAATCCGGTACTGCTTGGAAGTGAGACTGTTGATCGCGACAGTGGCCTTCTGAGCCCCTTGAGGGTCATGCCACCTATTGTACACAGTCCGTATGAAGTCTTCTAATGTCTAGGTCTGGGCCCATACGTCGAAATTCAGACCATAGCCCTGTTGTTGCACTAACCCATTTAACCAACGTGTTGTCGATCCCTCTAAAAAGGAGGCAGCAACTATAACTTTTTGTTCTGGCCTTGTGAGCTTGTGCCTCACATAAGTGGGCACAGTCCTCACCCAGTTGTCCAGGTCCCCTTCCTTCTTCTTGTCGCGAGAGAAGGGCTTAGGACTCAGCAAGGGTATCTTGGGCATCCACTGCATAGGCTGGATTGGCCCAGGTGTTTGCTGCAGTGGCTGCATAGCCACTGAGACAGGTTGCTGCATGCTAACCTGCGGCTGTCCTGACAATGGCACTGTAGCGGCCACCGTCCTTGATGGTACGGGAAAAGTGTTGAGAACCGGACCACTAGCTACTGGTTGTCCGCCTGAGAGAGACATGCCATACATAGGTGAAAAGGATGACCCTATCGGCGATGACATCACTGAAGGACCTGCAACAGAAGGGGGAACTGCAGAGAACTGGGGCTGCCTCATGACAGGACGAGGTCCTTGAAGTGCAGCCAGAATTCGCTTCTGGCCTGCCACTAGTTTAACCAACAGTTCCTGCTGGACTACCTGCGTTTCTGCCACACAAAGTAGCGAGTTACGCACCGATCGATCAACAGGATTCAATGTAGCCTCATCTAGTTCTTCAAGCCCTCTTAGCTCCTACAACCTAGTGCCTAACCTGACTTTTCTCAATCTGGCCCTTTCTCTTCTCTCTTCTAGTTCTCTTAGTTGCCGCTGCAACTCATCATGAAGAGCTTCCGCTTGGAGGATCTCATAATCCTCCGACGTGAGTGGGGGATGATGGCTGACTTCCAAATCAACAGTCTGACTTATGGAGCCTTGGGTACTCTGACTGAGTCCTGACGAAGAGGCTTGAGAAGAGGCCTGTGACATGGTAGAGGAGGTAGCCATAGTTGCACCTGTGCTAGCTATACTCCTAGCTCTGGCGCTGGCCTCAGCGTCCCTCGTCCTCCGCAATGCCGCCCTCTCTCCGCAGCCTCCTTACCTCTCCTGGACCTAACTATAGGACAGTCAAAGGTCGACTGAGAGCAGTTCTATGAGTAACCCTAAGATCTTCCACTAACTCCTCCTCCTGACTGTTAGTAGCTTCCCTCATGAGCTACAGTGGAGTGTGATCTGAACTAGAATCCATATTGAATCCTACTTGAGCCTGACACCCAACCGAGTAAAAATAATCAATACATCTCGGTCAGCCTGGAGAAAATAGTTAAGCGGTAACGAATAACTAATGTCAGATCCTACAGGCAACACTATTTCTATTTTTATATTACTCTTAAACAGTTTATGTGCAACATAGAATAAACTAAACTATCTGCAGCTGTCTGTTAGTTGTCAAACAAGTCTGTAACAACTAAATAATCAAAAATAAAAATAAGCAACCTGCTGAGATGTATGCTGGATGGCAGTTTATCTAATTAATGCAACAACGAATAGTTACCGGAATCCCCCCTCTCCCTGTATCCTTCTTGAGTGGTCGCTTTGTGTCAACGCCCTGAGCATCTGGTTGAGCGGCGTGTCTGAAGGTGTGCAATCCGACCCACTTCTGTGCCCTAAATCTATGCCGAACCTGCCAGCCCCTGCACTTTATTTACCCTCGCATGCAACGAGCCTTACTTCCGGTTTGATCTGGCTGATCAAGAGGCAGTTTAAGGACATCCCCCAAGGTCCTCAGGAATTATGTAATGTCGCAAACAGGATGACAATCACAGCAAGGGTTCAACACTGGAACCCGCCAGAAATATTTGGAGATGGTCTAGTAAGCGTTTGTCCAAAGGGCTGGTAAGCCCTGCATGACCTCTATTGCACAGCAGCAGAACCAAGGACTTGCGGCACAACATGCGTGTACTAGTCCCAGCAGGTTGGCATGGTGACCGTGACCCGAGTGCTTCGCCCAGGGCCCTTCAGAGGCTTCGCCCGTCTCCCACCAGCTTGCTGCCCAGGAAGAATGTCGACTCCCATGGTTGAGTGCGCACGACACCTCACATTAAGAGGACTCTCAAGACAGAACTCACTTCCTCACGGTAAGAAGTAATGAAGAGGGTACATAAGGAAGAGAGCAATGTACCTCATAATGCTGCCCCCAACCACATATTTCTCACCGACAACCTGACGTGCATTTATGATGAGTGGTCTTTGCCTCGGCACAACCAACAGCAGAATGCAGTTACAGCTCGGCTTAAATGCCACATCAGCGAGCTCTCATCATGCAGTGTACACCCCTAATGTCACCACATAGCTTCCTGCCGCGCCCACACGACCCTGGGTCGCCAATCGTTCAACGCCCAAGCCTTATTACTGCCCCACACCTCATGCGAAGCACCAAACAGCTATTGTGAAGAACCAATGAAGCGCAGTTCGAACCAGCTCTGATACCAAATTGCAAGGAAAATGAGCAATAGCGAGATGGCAATATCCAAATTGCACAATCACATTGAAAGCCAGAATGTATCACAATGTCCAAAAAGCAACATTGCACCAATATAACACCAATGGAGAATCGTAACATTGAAAACCAAATGTCAATGAGAGCTTGCTCTCGCCACCACCAACATATGTGTCCAGACCCTTCTCCCTACTTGGCGCTCGGCGCCCAGCCTACTCCCTACACAGCTACCATCTGCCTACTAATTGACAATGCAACTGTTGATGTCAGTAGCCAACGAAGTACTTGAAGATGTTGTCCAATGCAGACCATCGCCAATACCAGGTATGTGCCCTCACATCATCATCATCATCATCCTTCTCTCTCTCCCTCGAGTTACACCCACGTCTTCCCTCTGTACACCTGAAGACCACCCTGGGCTATGGTACTGCCCTCAACAGCGCCCTCACTCACACACGACCGCACGTGCTTGCACCTTGCCTCTCATCGCCAGCAACAACCCACGCGCTTCCGCTCCAGCAGCGCTGTCGCTAGCATGCAAGTGCCCGAATGCCCAACCAGGCGGCGAGGTTTTTCCTATATGGAAAGAGCCTGCCTCCCCTGGCGGCGTGGCTGGCCTGGGCCTCTGCCCAGAAGCTTTCGGTAGGCCCCAGGAGGTTGTGCCTCTGTTGCAGCTACTGGGCCTCGTTCGGTTGGGCCTCCCAATTGTCTGTGAGTGAGGCTGCGATTCGTGCCCAGGGCCAGGAAACGCCTGGAAGGCCGTGGAATGTCTTTGCTGCTCGGCCTGTGTTTCCCTCAACCACTGCCTGGACCCCAAATACGAAACTGACAGCAGAGGGCCTCTCGAGATTTGTTAGGCCCGCCTTCACTTAGGGCGGGCACACCTGTATTAGGGCCCCTTACGCCTGCCGAGGACCCAGATCCTCGCAATGGGTGTTCTCACCCCCTTCCTTAACGACTCTCCTGCCTCCTTCGCAGGAGATGTATGCCTATTTGGCTGGTTTCATGGTGAACTCAGCTCCTCCATTGTTTCTTATGACARATGTTGTTACAAAAGTTCTGCATGGTTGTTTGTCCTTTTTTGGTAAGCTTGGTATTGTGACCATGTTCATTTCTGCTCTACACCCCTTACATGGACATTCGTGATGTACATTCCGTCTTGTCTATGTGTTGTGTACARCTGTTATGTACACTTTTTCCTTCAGTGCATGATGTGATTGTGATGGCGGTCACCGCAAGGGCACGGGTTGCACCCCTTTCCCGTGCAGTGGGTATAGTTACGGCCCGCCTAAGGAGGGCACGGGTTGCACCCCTTTCCCGTGCAGTGGGTATAGTTACGGCCCGCCTAAGGTTGGTCAGACCCGGGCGGCTGCCTCCATGCCCACTCACCTCTTGTTCCYTGTTCTTTGGGATAATCCTTCTACGCTGGCTCATGCATGTGTCAGTTGCTTGGTGACATCTTTTTATGTAGACAYTGTTGGTCTATCGGTGTAAGGCTCTTGGCATTGCTGCTGGTTGCACACTTGTGCTGATTGCACATTCATCGGGAGACGCAGTTTCACATTTACACCAAGCTCTTTCTTTGACAATGCTGCTGACTATGAACAACAAACAAAAAGGACGACGGCAGGAATCCCGACCTGAGCCGTCGGGCCTAAAGTCCTGTCACCTCATGCACCCACCTCCTTTCTTTGGATTGAAAAGTTGACAAAAAAATAAAAAAATGAAAAAAAACAAATAAGAAAAAAAACAAAGAAAACAATCGTTTCATAATCAATGAATTTGCAATTGAGAAATAATCAAGGGGCTGTTCCGATACTTCCCACTCCTTTCGGGAGATTTCCTGCCGTTGGCATGGCAGGTGCTATACCAAGCTTTCCTCTAGGTCACGCTGTCCCATTTGCTTATGCTCACATGTCGAACCGCCAGGCATCTGTATCTCATCGTGTAGATTGGCGTGCACACTTGGAGTGGAATACTAACTTGTATTCTGCAGGAAGGTGGCGCAAGAAACAACTCCGTCATCTTAACAATGTTGTGCAGGCCGAGCGGTTTGAGTTACAATTGCGAGGTGTTGATCAACAACCTCTTGAGCCAGGTAGGGACCCCCTCACTGTT